TTCGCGCCCCTCTGGCCCCGTACGCCCAGCTGGGCCCTCAGCGCCCTCAGGCCCCTTCATACCCCGCTGGCCCCGTAGCACCCCGCTTGCCCCTTCGCGCCGCTGACCCCTTCGCGCCTCACTGGCACTGTACGCCCAGCTGGCCCCTTAGCGCCTCGCTGGCCCCCCTTCACGCCCCTCTGGCCCCGTACGCCCAGCTGGCCCCTCAGCGCCCTGCAGGCCCCTTCGTACCCCGCTGGCCCCTTAGTGCCCCACTGACCCCCTCGTGCCCCGCTGGTCCCGTACGCCCAGCTGGCGCTCCCTCAGCGCCCCGCTGGCCCCTTAGCGCCCTGCTGGCCCCTTAGCGCCCTGCTGGCTCCTAAGCGCCCCGCTGGCCCCGTTTGCGCCCTGCTGACCCCTTAGCGCCCCGCTGTCCCCATACGCCTCGCTGGCCCCGGTTTCCCCGCCCCTGGTTCTGGTTCCCACTCCCCTGGTAGCCCCTGCTCCCCTCCCTCCCCGTCCTGCCCCGTCTAGTGTATCTCACGTCACTCTCCCCCCGTCGGTTGTCCCGCTAGAGGAGTTGGCTGACTCCGGTGACCCCACGGCATAGTTATCGCTGCCTGTTTCCGCCCCGGTGTCTCCTTCTCCGCCGTCGACGCCGTCGCCGCTGCAGCAGCAGCCGCAGCAGCAACAACCGTCTGTGGGCTCTGGGGGTGCAAGCTTTGAGGAGGGTGCTCGTCCTGAGGTTCCTGTCGTGGCTCGTCCCGGCGGTCCTTGGGGTGGCACCGGTGCCGGAGAGGGTTCCCGTTCTGGGGGTGCTGGTTCTGGGGGTGCTAGTTCTGAGGTTACTCTCGTGGCTTGTCTCATCGGTCTCGGGGGTGGCACTGGTGCTCGCGAGGGCTTTCCTTCTGGGGGTGCTAGAGTGGAGCGTTCCAGAGGTAGCCGAAGTGCAGCTGGAGGTTCAGGTGTTGGCGTGGAGTAGCAGCAGTAGTCGTCGCCGATGTCTGCCCTTCGCCTGCTCGGTCTTCCCTCCCCTGACCGCCCGCCCGCGCCTCCCCCATCGCCGCCTCCCTTGCCTGTCTACAGCCCTGTCTTTCCTCCGCCGGACTCGTCTCCAGCTCGTTTTCCCCCTCGTTCCCCTCCTGTGTCTCCTCCTCTGTCTCCTGACCTGACGCCTCCTTCTCACGTCTGGTCTCGTCGTCCCTCCCGTGCTCGTCCTATCTCTCTTGTTCAGTGCTCTCACCCTATGTTACCTTGTTCCCACGCGTTTCGTCCTCCCCTCCTTCCGTCTCCTCCTCCGTCGCTGCTTCTTGTCGCTCCGCCTCCTCTGTCTGACTTCCTTTGTGCCGCCAGTCCTCTTGTTCCTCGTGTCCTTGCCTCCCTTGTTATCAACCCATCTGTTCCTGTCTCGAGTCTTGCCGCTCTTGTCGCTGCCGTCGCTGGCTTCGCCTCTACCTGCCGCCTTGACTACGCCACTGCTCTGGTCTTTGATCCTGTCCGTCCTCCGTCCGTCGGGGGTGCTCCTGCCCTTGGCAGCGACGTCCTGGAGGACCGGCAGTACGAGTTTGCTTTCGTGGATGAGGTCGCGCCTCATCTCTGCTCTATGGTGCTAGTACCTGAGGGGGACCCAGACACCATTGACATTCCGACCCCTCGCACCTACGCTAAGGCCACCTCGGGACCCTTGGCCTCTCATTGAATATCTGCCATGGAAGCGGAGATGGCACCTTGGAGATCCACTGGCACCTACGTCAACGCAGTTCCCCCCCCCTGGGAAAATGTAGTCAATGGTCGACGGCTCTTCAAGGTGAAGCGCCCTTCTAGAGAGCTGCCTGTGTTCAAGGTGCGTTACGTGGCTAGAGGCTTCAGTCAACGAGAGGGTGTGGACGTCTTCCAGACCTTTGCCCCGACCCCGAAGATGACTACTCTTCGGGCGTTGCTACATGTAGCAGCACATCGTGACTACGAGCTGCACTCTCCCGACTTCTCGACAGCTTTTCTTCAGGGCAGTTTGCCCGAGCACGTCAACCTGCGCCGTCCACTAGGCTTTGTTGGCACCTTCGCGCTAGGGACCCAGTGGCTTCTCCGGCACCCGGTTTACGGCATGCGGCAGGCACCGCGCGAGTGGCAGGACACGTTGCGTGCTACATTAGCTGACCTGCGGTCGTCCTTTGCAGATCCTTCACTTTTCTTTCGTGCTGGCCAGACCACGTTCTACATCCTAGTCTACGTAGATGACCTGGTCTATGCTACTGCAGACAGGGACTCCGTGAAGGCTGAGCTGCTGAGGAAGCACACATGCATTGGCCTAGGAGAGCTGTACCGTTACCTTGGCCTGCAGATCTACAGGGACAAAGCAGCGCGCACCGTTACTCTCACAAAGTCACACTTGGTGCGCCAGGTCCTTCAGAGTTTCGGACTTCAGTTCTCCTCCGCACAGCCCACATCTCTGCCAGTACACCACATGCTCTCGAATCCAGTCCCTGAGGAGTCTGTAGAGCCTAGTGATCCTTACGCAGAGCTGGTGGGTTGTCTCATGTACCTGATGACTTGCACTCATCCAGATCTCGCATACCGTCTGAGCATCCTGGCTCACTTTGTGGCGCCAAGCAGACACCGGCCGCATCACTGGTCGGCCGCGAAGAGGGTTTTGCATTATCTAGCAAGTACATCGGGCATGGGGCTAGTGCTAGGAGGACGCAGGCCAGTGGTATTTACAGGGCACCCGACGCTTCGTGGGCGGACAACGCTGAGATGCTCAAGTCCTCCCGTGGCTACTGCTTTAGCCTTGGTGCAGGTGCCATCTCGTGGAGGTCCGCCCGCTTGTCGTCTATTGTTCAGTCCAGCTGCGAGGCCGAGATCTACGCTGGTGCCATGGCGGCACATGAGCTCCGCTAGCTGACTTTCTTGCTCACAGACTTAGGTGAGCGGCCTTGCTCTGCCCCAGTCTTGTATACTGGCAACATGATCCTCCAGTGTCAGGAGCCTTGACTAGAGGACAGAGCGAAGCAGATTCAGCTGCGGTACTTCCTCCTGCGCGAGCTACAGCAGCGCCGCCAGGCCTGCGTAATACACTTGGCCTTCGGTGCCAACACAGCTGATATCTTTACGAAGGCACTTTTGCCGAAAGATCATCGGCGGCATTGTGTACAGCTTGGTCTAGTTCCTGTAGCTTCTCACGTGCTAGGACCCTGGCTGTGTATTACTGCGTTGATTATCTTGACTGGCCTTGTGACTCTTGTTCCAGTGGTTGGAATAATTGTGCTGCCCTGGGTTACACTTGTCTAGTTTGTACTCTTGCTGACTGGTCTTCGGACCCTTGCCTCAGAGGTTGGACTAATAGTGTCACATTGAGATGTGTGCCTCTTGCTCGTCGCTGCCCCTTGTCTAGCTTAGGGGGTGTGTCAACATATAATTAAATATATTACATAATATCTAGGTGCATGATTCTATAGGGTACAACGCATTAGGTTATACCCCCTTGTACAATCTCAGTCTAGGTCAAATTTTCTACGCTAAGATTTATGAGTGTGAAGGGGCAACTGGTGAATGGACGCAACGATGAAGCTGATGGCCATCGTCCGACTGCCCAACGGCCCAGATGACCACTTGCAAAGTGTTTTGTTGCTAATGAGGCGTTAAAACGTGCCCAGTTTGCATATGTAGAGCTTCCCTTCTTTAGTAGTTGATGTATCTTGTGTTACCGTATAGCTTTTATAATACGTGGCTAAAATGTTGGATAATTCACTGCATAGTGCTGTGCTTTGTAACGGTGATTTGACACCATCACAAAATGTTGCCATTGGGGGGCAACTTGCTTGTTGCGAACACCTCGACTCTCAATCGCAAAAGTTTTCGCCAACAGGAGTACCGCTGTAAAACCAGCACCCGAGGTAGCGAAGCCTTTCGCCACCGTCAAAGCAGCCAGCACAGCAGCTGGAGTCAAGCGAGCAGAGGAAACCATGTTCCGAGTCGCGAATTGCACAGCGCATGTACAGTACAAATTTCAGCTGTCCCGTTCCAAGCCACACAGTACTGTACAGTATTTCCTCCAGCCTTGTTCATTCCCCTCATATTCATTGACCAGCGCGTTCTGTTTGCTGAACCAAGGGGTCGTTCGCTGGCCAATTTTTCACCGGCACGGCGAGGGAAATCAGGCATGGGGAACATCGATCGAGGCTTCGTGGGTTCGCCGAACCCAGTTTGCGAAACGTGACGTCAGCATGCGAAAACGTTGCGTCGGCTCGGTTTCCCCAAACCAATTGCCCCCAAATCGCGTGCTCCTTCTCATGCCAAACCCGAAGCGCGGCCATCAGCCGCCCAGAGCTGCCAGGCAAACTCCGTGCCACACCTCATACTGCAAAATCGTGGTATGAGGCAGGCCAAGATTGGCATGCCTCTTGGCTGGGCAGGTTTACGAAACCCAAAAAAAAACCGCAGCCACTTCCCCTTCAATCCTACCCGTCGATTTGCGCAATTGCGTCAGCTCATACCCATCCAATCGGTCACATTTTGAAATGTTAAAAAAATGGGCAGTTTTGACAAAATTGTGTGAATCTCATTCTCTCCGCTAGATTTTCCACGAAAGTGCGATGGGCTAAGAGGGCTTTTGGTGGGCCCCACTCTTCACTGTCCACCAGTTTGTCTTATCCAGTCCTGCAGTCGTGACAGACGTAATCATGAGCCGGCGACGTTATGATTACCAAAGTACGGGGGCACACAAAAAAAAATTACGTAGGTTTGGCTGCGCAGATTCCATGCGCGCGGGATTTGGTCTCCCGTTCCCCTCCCCCTTCCCCTCGGAAAATTGCCAGCGAACGGCCCCCAAGCCTCTCCTGTACGAACAAACGGTTGTTTTTCCCCCTTCCCTCCCTTCCACTCCACCACAACCACTTCTCCTCCCCCCCCGCCCCCTTCCCGCCCCCTTCGCTCTCGAGCCAAGGCATGGATTTCGTAACAAAATCAAGAAATCAAGAAACCTCTTCGTCCCTTACGTCCTGGGCTTGCCTGGCTGCCTGCCGCCGACCCACATCCACCCAACGTGCTACGACCGCCCCAGGTGAAGGCCCAGGAGATGCTGGCAGCGGCAGGCTGCTACCAAGGCACGCGCAGAGCAACTCGCTGCATTTCTGGCAGCGGAAATGTCTGATGGGCGACGACGACGAAACTGCGAGGACGAGACGGCTAGTGTTACAGTTGTGTTACTACACAGTAGCACAGCAGTAGAGGCTTGACTCGCACGGAATCTGCTCCACGTCAGCTGCGACGCGAATGCATCGCACTGACGTCGGACAGTGCGGTACAGAAATGCTCTGCCGCTTGTGCCCCGTTGTCACACCTCCGACAAAGTCTGTCGAGCAGCGCAGGACGTTACGACGGAGTGCGTCAATGTCATACGGTTAGTGACGCCAGCCAGGCTATCATACTTTCCTTGGGGAGAGGCAACGAGGCGACGAGAGCTGAGATGGAGAGACGCGCCACCCGAGACAACCCCTTTCTTGGGTTTTGAAATGCCTCCACTTGAGTCAGCCCTAGTAGCCTCCCAGCGTGAGCCGCGTAGTAGTGCACATGAGAGCTCGGTATGAATAACATATAATTTGAAGTGACTTTTGAGTCGACTCAAAAGTCACCTTGAAGAACATATTTATTTGAGACGCTTCCTTTCGCTTGTCCAACGAGGAGCACACCTGAACAGTACACGATACTTCCAAGGCTTCGCTTCCCCCTTTGAGCTCATCCTCCCGAAGGCCCAGAGTCTTGGAAAGCAACGGCGGCGTCACTTCTTGCACTCGCGAATTTTGCGATGCCCCGATCTTAGTCCCTAACGGTTTCACGTCTTCCAACCCGTCATCGTCATCGTCATCGTCATCGTCGTCGTCATCGTCATCGTCATCGTCATCGCCATCGTCATAATGACGAGAGCTCGACTGAGTTCGCTTCCCGCGCTCTTGCTGCTCGGTGAGGTTCAGTGAGCTCTTACCTCATTTCGTGAGCTCTTACCTCATTTCGTGAGCTCGGCTCGATCCCGATTCGCAATCGATTCATCATGGGGGGGGGGGGGCGCCGTTATTCACGATGCGGCTCAGCGGCTCGCTTCTAGCATTTGGTGCAAACCCTCATCCCCCTACTAACTAAAGCCTCCAACCGCTTTGCCCTCCCTTTTCCCTGCTCTCGCAGCCGTAATCGCCTGCCTTCAGCATCCCCCGCGCGCTGCTTATGGCGCCGGTGAGTCCGACTCCGTCGGTGAGACGATCTCCTTATCCAGCATTGGAGTGCGCACACGGCTGCGAGTAGTCCCTTCCCTGGCTTCACCCCAAAGCGGGGTCCACTGGCAGGGACCCCCTTTGCTTTGGAAGTTCCTATTGCCATGTCGTTAGACCGGTAGTTGTCAGCACAGGAAAGAGAGCGCTTCTATCCGCACCCGCTTCTGGAAGCTTCACATGTCTGACATGTCTCGTGTTCTGCCGAAAGAAGCAGTGGCAGTGCACCGCTTGCCGGTCCCGGGTGGCCCCCTCCTCACCTTCAACGTTTCTTCTCCAAAGTTTCCGTTCCCCCACCACTGGTGGCACGCCCCCCAACCAACCAACCCCCTTGCTTTGTACAGACGCCTTCTCCTACTTCTCCGCGCGTGTGCTGGACGGCGAACCACGTCACTTTTGCGCCGATTCAAAAGGCTTCTCTTTGCCCCATGCCCCCATCACCCCCCTCTCTGCCCCTCTCCCTTCCCCCCTCTCCCCCTCTCCCCCCTCTTCCCCCCCAGAATCCTCCTCCTACTTATCCGCGCGGGTGGTAGGCGGCGAGTTTCTTCTGGGCCGACTCAAGAGGCTTCTCTTGCCCCCATGCCCCAATCACCTTTCCCAATCCTCGCCCCCCCCAGACCCCTTCTTGTACTTCTCCGCGCGCGTGGTGGACGGCGAGGCGCGAGCAGCCGTCCTTCTGCGCATCACGTAAGCCGTCCATTTGTCCCTGCTGTAAGCCGTCCATGTGTCCCTGCTGTAAGCCGTCCATGTGTCCCTGCTGTAAGCCGTCCATGTGTCCCTGCTGTAAGCCGTCCATGTGTCCCTGCTGTAAGCCGTCCATTTGTCCCTGCTGTAAGCCGTCCATTTGTCCCTGCTGTAAGCCGTCTTGCCGCACCTCACGTTCCCTTCTTTCGCTCATTCAAGCCCTTCCCTTGCTTGCTCCTGTCCTCAAATAACACCCTCCCTCCCCCTCACCTCTCCCCGTCCTTCTCGTTCTCGCCCCCTCCCCCTGCACACCATCAGGCCCCCAGAAACCGTCGCTTTCTTTGTCTACGCTGCTATGCCAGCAAGCCCGCCGTCCTCTCTCCAGTTCGTGGGTACCACCGTCCCCGGATGCAACGCCACCACGTGCAGCCTCAACCTCCACCCCCTCACCTGGACCCAATTGGCGCCGTCTGTGTGGCGGAGTGATGGAATCTATGGGACCCGGCCCACCTACGACCCTGAGCGATTTGCCGTGATTTCCCAGATGATGTTGGGTATTTACCCCGCAGTGTTGATGACGTACGACAACCCGGAAATGGGGGGCCTGCGCCCAGCCTTGGGGCAGATTTATAAAGATTTCTCGAATAATTTCAGTACGTGCGGGTAGGTGGGTGGATGGGTGGGTGGGTGGGATGGAGGTGATATGGAGGGGCGTCAGCTTGCCGGTGCAATGATTGTTATCAAGTGCTCTTTAGCTGGTTGCCTTGGTTTCCCATGCCTTTGTTGTAGCTTGGTTTCTCGCACTTTTGTAGACAGGCATTGGCTTTCTCATGCATGTGTTGGAGACTCGGCTCCCATGCATGCGTACCTTGCCCCTCTGGCGTTATGGCATTACGACATCATGCCTAGCCTCAAGTTTTTCGCTGCAGATTATGGTGTTTAATGACTTCTCCGATCCCATGCATGCCTTGCCTATGGTATTATGGCGTTGTGCCTTGCTGCAGATTACGGCGTTTCACTGAATCCAGTCGGATTCAACTTCAATGCTCGCTTCCGCTCCTACATGCCCGGGGGCGCCAACCTCAATTTCTCGGTGTCGTGAGTCGCTCTTCCCCACTCATGTCCCACCTGCCCCCAATTGCGACTCAATCTCCCCCCCTTACCGCACATCCCTCACCCACTTTCCCTCTCCCCCTCCCTCTATACTGGCCCCTTCTCTCACCTCGCTTGCATCCCACCCACCACACAGAAGACCCTGTCATTTGAGAAGTTTCCCTCACAAGGTGCCTCATTACTACTCCCAACGTCTCTTCTCCCCCCATCTCACCCCCAACCCCTTTCCCAACCCCTCCCCCCATCCCTCCTCTCAACCCTCCCCCCCACCCCTCCCCCCACCTTTCCCCCCATCCTTTTGTAACAGCGCCGATGGACTGATCTTCCGAATGGATTACAGTTATGTGATCGTGGCCCCCTCTGAGCAGCCGGTTACCAGCCGCCTCGTTATTTATTACGAGGAGGCTGCTCCTCCCCCCTCTGCTACCACCTCCATTACCACCACCGGTGCTTCGACTTCCGAGCCTCCTCCTCCTGCTCCTGTGGTAGTGGTGACGAGTGGCAAGTGCAAGAAGGCCAAGGATAACAACAAGGACAAGAGCAAGGCTACAGGGAAGGACAAGCCCAAGTGCAACAACGGAAAGGGGAAGAAGAAGGGAGATGAGGAGGACTGCTGCGATGATGGTGACACATCGCCACCGCCGCCGCCGCCGCCACCACCACCACCACCCCCTCCCCCTCCTCCTCCTCCTCCTCCTCCTCCTCCCAGCATCTCTTACGTATCGCTCTTCTTCGGCTCATCGACCTATATCTGCAACACCACCACGTGCCCCATTTTCTACTCCGTGTTTGGCGGAATGCCGTGGTACTTCAACCCCGCCTTTGGGTACTACACACAAGAGCAGCGGGAGGCGGACCCCCAGTACCAGGCGCTGTCGGCGCTGATGCAGTATTCGCTGACGGGGGTGAAGGGGCGGCTGGTGAATGCGAGCATGAAGATGGAGGCGATTGATCAGCCCAATGGGCCTCTCGGCCTCCTGGAACGCATCTGAGATAGAGTATATGGGCAGGGTCCCTTTCGCCCTTGACGTGGGTCAAAAGGTGTGAGATGCGGTGCGCTGTCAGTGGTGATGGAGTGTGCCGGGGTGCAAGGGGAGGGAGGGGAGGGGAGGTGAAGGGACAGCTGGTGAATGCCAGCATGAAAAGCTGGAGGCGATTGGTCAGCTGAATTGTCCTTTCGGCATCCTATAACGTATCTGTCTGACCTGGAGTGTTGGTGTGTGTTTGAGCTTGAAGCTTGAGCCCGTTTGAAGGTGGAATAAAAAGGCTGCAGCGCCTTGGCACATGTCATAGCAAAGGCACCCACCCTCTATGGGAGTGTTTTTGTTTAGTCGTCTAAGCTTTTGTTGAGGTTGTGTTTGCGTCAGTTGCCATTAATAATCCACTGGAAATTTGTTGAGGGCTAAATGCACAAGGTGCACGCATAATGTGTAGAGGCTCATTTGCAAGCTACACTACGCTATATAGTTTATTTCCACAACCGTAATCACCCCGACAATCTATACAGCATCTCGCAATATTACAAGACTCGGAGGATATTATAAAGAGTTATTTCCGCCAGCCAGCCCCCCGAATTCACCCCCCGCCCCATCTCAGACAACCACAGACCAGACCAAACCAGACCAGATCCTCCTTGCTCAAACGCCACTTATCTCGACAGACTAGACCGGACTCTACGTTCGTATCGCGCCGCGTCAGTCTCTATGGTCGCAATGCCCGCTTTCGCGGGAAAAGCGCTTTCAGCCGGGTGCCTTAATCTCCCGAACAAAGCTGCGTCTCCGTCAAGCCAGCTTCGCAATGCAAGCCACGCCTCGAGTTACGCTGGCATCAGGAAAATCAAATCCGAGAACAGAAGTCGCCGCATTTCACGGAAACCCCTCTCTGATTTGAGTGTTTCGTGCGTGCATGTCTCCAGCTCTCGCAGCGTCCCCGCAGCGGTCGATGGCGGCAGCTCACGTCAAAACCGACGGCGACCTCGGGATTGCCTAGCAGCAGCAGCAGCCGTCGGATCGAATGAATCAAACAGCGATCGTACGGACACGGTGCATTCGAGCAGGCGGCTAGATGAGGATCCCGTGGCGACTGCAGCGCCCGAGGCAAGTGACAGGCCCGCTGACGTGGCAGTGGATGCTCACGAGGCAGAAGCTGACATGGCAGCTGCGTCGGAGCCGGATGGACGAGCTGGGACAGCAGCAGCAGCAGCAGAAGCAGCAGCCGTGGCAGCCATTGCTTCTGAATCAAGAAGTGTGCCTGAAAGAGCCGCAGCAGCGCCAGAATCAGCTCCAGCATCAACGCCAGCATCAACGCCAGCACCAGCAGCAGCGCCAGCGTCGGCAGCAGTGGTGGCAGTGCCGGTGCTGCTGTCACTGCTGGCGCTGTCACTCGTGCTGTGCAACGCCGACCGAGTCATCATGTCCGTTGCTATCCTTCCGCTCTCCGCATCCAACGGCTGGCCGCCTAGCGTCGCTGGGATTGTGCAGGTGAGAGGGGAAGGCAGGGGGGATGGGCGGAGGAGGGAAGGAGGTGCAAGGGGGGGGGAGGGGGAACAGGGGGGGAGGGCAGGGGGGGGGGGGGGGAGAGGGATTTTCATAGCCTTTAGGCTTCAAGATTAAAGGAGCAGTGCTGGTGCCACTCGCACAACGATCCAACGGCGGGCCACGTGGCGTCGCTGGCGTTGTGTGCAGCTAGGTGTGTGGAGAGCGGGAGAGCAACGAGAGGGATCGACTCCGCGAGCCTTTCCCTACGGGCACTCATTCTCATCGCCTTCTCCCCTCTCCCGTCTCCCCTTTCCCATCACCCCTCTCCCATGACCCCTCTCCCATGACCCCTCTCCCATGACCCCTCTCCCATGACCCCTCTCCCATGACCCCTCTCCCATGACCCCTCTCCCATGACCCCTCTCCCATGACCCCTCTCCCATGACCCCTCTCCCATGACCCCTCTCCCATGACCCCTCTCCCATGACCCCTCTCCCATGACCCCTCTCCCATGACCCCTCTCCCATGACCCCTCTCCCATGACCCCTTTCCCATGACCCCTCTCCCATGACCCCTTTCCCATGACCCCTCCCCACCTCACCCCCTGCTTCTCCCCCCCACACCCCCATCACAAGTCCCCCTCTTCAAAACCGCCCAACCTTCCCTTGCCTCCCCCCTCTCCCCCCCCTGTCTCCTGCCAGTCGTCGTTCCTCTGGGGCTATCTCATCACGCCCATCATCGGCGGGTCTCCTGCCGGGCGACATGGCGGCCACCCTGTGCTGGTGTGGGTGCTGGCAGCACTGCTGGTGACGCCCCTCTCGGCCGCTCATTCTTTCATTGCCCTCTTTCTCTAACCCAACAACCCCCCCCCCCCTCCCCTTCCTCCCTCTCCCCCCCCCCCAGTCGTCGTTCCTCTGGGGCTATCTCATCACGCCCATCATCGGCGGGTCGCTCGCCGACCGATACGGCGGCCACCCGGTGCTGGCAGCAGGGCTGGCGCTCTGGTCGCTGGCCACACTCCTGACGCCCACTGCTGCCGCCCATTCCCTATTTGCACTGGTGTCCGTGCGAGCCGTGATGGGGCTGGGCGAGGGGGTCGCGCTCCCCTGCATGAACCACATGGTCTCACGGTGCGTTGGTTGTTCTAGCTGCCAGGTTCCGAGGTGCCTTAAAAGCTGCCCTCCCCGTGCTGCCAGTGGGGCTGGCGCTCTGGGCTCTGGTCGCTGGCCACGTTGGCCGTGCTGGCCGTGATGGGGCTCGGCCAGGGGGTCGCCTGCCCTGTATGACCCACATGGTCTCCCGGTAGGTTGTCACGCACGGGACAAGGTGCACGGGGCAAGGTGCATGGGGCAAGGTGCACGGGGCAAGGTGCACGGGGCAAGGTGCATGGGGCAAGGTGCATGGGGCAAGGTGCATGGGGCAAGGTGCATGGGGCAAGGTGCATGGGGCAAGGTGCATGGGGCAAGGTGCATGGGGCAAGGTGCATGGGGCAATGTGCATAATAAAAGGCATGCAGTATTTGGTGTCATGCTTCCTTGAGGTGCCCCATGCTGGGGCTGCTCCCAGAGCCATCCCTCATGCCCCAACCCAAGGCGCAAATAAACGGTTTCCGTAGTACACGGTCCGAATCCTACGGTCGTTTTTTTCCAGTGAATTTGGGGAAAAAACGTCGTTTTTTTCGGTGAATCTGGGAAAAAAAAAGGTCATGTTTTTTTCGGTGAATTTGGGAAAAGCCTTGTTTTTTAAAACGAGATCACTACCTTGAAAATAACCCATTTTTCTAACTCAAACATCTCATTGCATTATCCCTGAGGCCTAGGGCCGTTATGGGATCCACAGATCTCCGACCTCTCTACGAGGTGAGCTCATCTACCCTTCCCTATCTACGCGTTGTGTTCTAAGTTGGAAGACCTAGAGCGGATGTGAAGCGAGTTGAAATTCTTCAGGAATGTGAGTACCTGTTTGAAATTGCGCGATGTTTGTATGTGGAATGTTATAGAGACGTTTGGTGGGGAGAACGGGAGGTACAGACTAGGGTTGGGACAATCGCATCGCTGACGCATCGCGAGTGTCGCGCTGAGCGCGAAAACATTGTTGCAGGTCTCGAAGTTGTACACCAGAGTGCAACGGCTTCGTCAATCGAGTGAAATACGCAATCTGACAGTTTGGGATTTCGCCCTTGGGGAAAAAGTTGACCCGACAGCCCTCTTCGTTTTTTACCAGGCATAAACCAACCTTGGAAATTTGCATGCCCGATATACGTCGACATAATTTCGGCTTAAAAAAAACGACCAAAAACAAGCGTTTTTTTTTTTTTTTTTTTTTGGAGACCAAAAAGGGCACTTCAACCGTTTTTAACCATACAGAACGGGGAAAATATGAAAAACGTCGTTTTTTTGCGCCTTGCCCCCCCCCTTCCACTCCCTCGCCCTCTCCATCCCTCCCATCCCCAACAGCCATGTGCCACACTGCAGGAGAGCGTGTGTTGCGGGAATATGTTTCGCTTACCTCCAGGATAGAGCCGTGTAGTTCAGTTCATGCAGAGCAGGGATATGCTTTCGTCTTTGAGCATTCTCATCTCCCGCAGCATGCTCGGCCTGCTCTCAGCGCCGTTGCTCATCATGCCCCACCCTCAACCCCCTCCCTTCCACCCATCCACAATCAGCCACGTGCCAGACCACAGGAGAGCATGGGCCACAGGGATCTGTTTCGCTGGTTTCCACCTGGGCAGCATGCTGGGGCTGCTCTCAGCGCCGTCGCTAATGTCCCTGCCTGCCCTGGGGGTCACCGGGCCCTTCCTCATCTTCGGCGCCTTGGGGCTGCTCTGGCTCGCGCTCTGGCTGCTGCTTGTGCCTGGAGGCTCGAGTGCGGCTCGTGCATCTAGTGCTCCGAGTGACCGGCAGCCAGGTGGGGAGGGGCAGGGTGCGAAGGACAAGGCATTAAAGCAGCAGGAAGTGAAGCAGCATGGTGGTATGACGCCAGCCATGCGGACTGGGTCGCGTGTGACGGTGCGGCAGCTGCTATCGCACCCGGCGTCGTGGGCCATCATCATTGCCAACACCGTCAACAACTGGGTAAGAGCTGGCGTGTAGGTATAGTTCAACAACCATCAGCATCCCCATCAGCATCCTCATCAGCATCCTCATCAGCATCCTCATCAGCATCCTCATCAGCATCCTCATCAGCATCCTCATCAGCATCCTCATCAGCATCCTCATCAGCATCCTCATCAGCATCCTCATCAGCATCCTCATCAGCATCCTCATCAGCATCCTTATCAGCATCCTCATCAGCATCCTTATCAGCATCCACATCAGCATCCTCATCATCGGCGTCAGCCCTTTGGCTCATCAGCAACAAATAGCCAGGCTTCGTTATGGGAAGAATGTGCATTTTCCAAGAAGAATTCATGCAGGGCTGTTGACTTGTCGATTTCGCTAACGTTTATTATCGCACACTTGCTGCATTCTCAACTGTCTTGACACTTGCTGCATTCTCAACTGTCTTGACACTTGCTGCATTCTCAACTGTCTTGACACGTCTCAAAGAACAAGTTTATGAATTTTCGCTGCACCCTCCATTGCCCATTCTCGTCAACCGTTCCCCATCCTCCGATGCCCCCATCCCACCTCTTCCATTCGATCTCACGCCAGGGCCACTCCATTGTTGTTGCATTGTTCTCCATTGTTGTTTCATTCTTCTCCATTGTTGTTTCATTCTTCTCCATTGTTGTTTCATTCTTCTCTCCTGGATGCGGCTCTTCCATTCCGTCTCCTTATGAGGCGCCTCTAAAGCACTTCCCATTCCGTCTCCTGGCTTGTCATCCCGTCGCACCCCTCACCAGGGCTACTTCATTCTCCTCTCTTGGATGCCGCTCTACTTCAACCAGGTGGGTCCGTCCGTCCGTCCATCCATCCGTCCATCCGTCCGTCCGCCCGTCCGCCCTCGCTCTACGTCAACCAGGTGGGTCCGTCCGTCTGTCCGTCCATCCGTCCGTCCGCCCCCGCTCTATTTCAACCAGGTGGGTCCGTCCGTCCGCCCCCGCTCTACTTCATTGCGCTTGTAGATTGTTGTGAACACAGAGTGGCACACTCCAGTTGGTGACATGACACGCTGTTTGGCACCCTTACACTCTCCCACCGCGCTCACCTAGCGCTCACCTAACCCTCACCCCGTCAGGTCCTACACACCGACATCCGCCAGGCAGCTTGGTTCAGTGCAGGGCCGTGGGCCGTGATGGCAGGGATGGGACTGGGTGCAGCTGCGCTGGCGGACTGGATGGAGGGGAAGAGAGGGATGAGCCGCACTGCTGTGCGCAAAGTTATGCAGGTGAGGCTTGAAGGTTGCCGCTGACTGGTTTGGATGGAAGGGTAGGCGGGGATGATTTGAAGGTTGCCGCTGGATGCAGTACAGGTCACTCAATCGTGACGGATTGGATGGAAGGGCAGGCAGGGGTGAGCCGCTGTGCTGTGCGCAAGGCCATGCAGGTGAGGTGCCACGACGATTCTGAGTAGCAAAGTCTCGAGGTGGATTTTGATTGGGCTCAGAACCACCTGCTTACCTTTCAAAAGTTTCGACCTTCTGTTGTCCCGCCGTCTGTGCCCTTCGTTGTTGCTTCCTCCGCCCTTCTGCTCCCCCGTCCTCTGTCCTGCATTCTCCCCTGTGCGTGTGCCTCTTATGCCAGCACTAACCCCTGGCATGTATCACCTCAGGCGCATCCCTTCCTCCCATCATTTCCAATCAGGCCACCGGTTTCCTGGGCCCTGCCGCGTCTCTCCTCCTCCTCGCGCGCATGCCCTCTGCGCCCCTCGCTGCGCTCTGCCTCACTGCAGCCCTTGGTCTCAGCGCCTTCAGCCAGGCTGGATTCCTGCTGAACCACAAGGTGGGTTCACGTGCACGGTGCACCCTGCACAATGCGCCATGCGCAATGCACCATGCACCATGCACCATGCACCATGGATGTGCATCTCTCCCACCTATTATGAAGTGCCATGTGAAGACTGCGCACATACTGTCAGCCTTACAGTGCTCACTGCCTGCTCACTTGGTTGCTCTCTCTTATCTCCCCCCCTCTGCTTCTTCTCTAACTCATACCCCACGCCCCCCTCCCTCCCCCCCTTCCCCCCCCACTCGTTTCTCTTTCTGTGTCGCCTGCCTCCCTATAACAGGACATAGCACCGCGCCACGTGGGTCTTTTGCACGGTGAGTGTGCTCTTCTCAGTGCCAAGTCTGCTGCGTCAAATGCTCCATCTCCTGCTCTGTATTTGATATTTCTACGCTCCCATCCTTGCCCCTAAAGAAACCCTCCCTCTGCCGCGCCTCGCTTCATCAGGCTCTCCAACACAGCGGCCACACTGTCTGGCATAACCAGCATGGTGGCAACGGGCTTCATGGTGGCAATAGTGGCCCCATTCCTCCCCCTCTTCTCACATTTCATCCCATCTCATCCCATCACATCCCATCTCATCCCATCACATCCCATTTCATCCCATCACATCCCATCACATCCCATCTCATCCCATCTCGTCTCATCACATCCCATGGCATCCCATGGCATCCCGTCACATCCCTTCGCATCCCAGCCCTCCAGGCCTTTCCAACACGGTGGGCGCGCTGGCCGGCATCACGAGCACAGTGGCAGCAACATGCTTCATGGTGACAATGAGATGTCGACCACCCCCCCCGCCCCCCCACCCCACCCCCACCTCCGTCCCACCTGCCACCCTCTCCAGGCCTTTCCAACACAGCGGGCACGCTGGCCGGCATCGCCAGCACGGTGGCAACGGGCTTCATGGTGGAGAGGCTGGGGTCCTTCCATGCGGTGCTCGCCATCACTGCCGCGCTCTATGTGCTTGCCAGTGCCTACTGGCTCGTGTTTGCCACTGCTGATGTGGTCTTCCCATAAAACCCCGGCTCTGCGAACATGTGAATTGCCACCGCCACCGCCACGGCTTGCTCCTGATCAAGCGGCTGTGGCTCTTTGGCTTCATGGGGGAAAGGCTGGCCAGGGACCTCCTTTCTGCTGCGCTGTCCTCCTCGCCATCACAGCCGCGCTCCATGTGCTCACCAGTGCCTTCAGGCTCGCCGCTGCACAGGTGGTCTCCCACAAAGGCTTTTGGAGTGGAGGCCAGGGTGCTTCCGCGCTGGCAGATGAGGGCTTTATGAGGGTGATTACAGCATCTCTCTCCCGCGTCGCATGGGTAGCAAGCAGTGTATAACGAGCACATTACACGGATAAGGACAATCATGCGTATTAAGTCCAGGGGGGCATACGCTGATAACGTAGAAACGAATGATTACAAGAGGTGGAAACCTAGAACAAATACTAGTTGGTTGTACTCACTAGAAGCATACCTCAGTCTAGCCTATAACTTCTACATAGATAATATGTATAAGTTGACACACCCCCTAGGCTAGACAAGGGGTGAAACTAAACAAGAAGCAAACAGCTCAGGGCGGCACTACTAGTCCAACCACTGAGGCAGGGGTCTGGAGACCAGTCAGCAAGAATACAACCAAAACTGAAGCAAGCCAGGGTGGCACTACTAGTCCAGCCACTGGAGGTAAGGCCACAAGGCCAGTCTGACAAGCATATATAATAGAGAGTACACAATCAGGATCCTAACAGGGGAGCAGCTATAGGAACAAGACCAAGCTGTACACAGTGCCGCTGATGATCTTTAGGCGCAAGCGCCTTAGTAAAGATATCAGCTGTGTTGGCACCTGAGGCCAAGTGAACTACGCGGGCCTGGCGGCGCTGCTGTAGCTCGCGCAGGAGGAAGTACCGCAGCTGGATATGCTTCGCTCTGCCCTCAAGCCGAGGCTCCTGACACAGGAGTATCATGGCCCTGTTGTCAGCGTACAGGACCGGGGCAGAGCTAGGCCGCTCACCTAAGTCTGTGAGCAAGAAGGTCAGCCAGCGGAGCTCCTGTGCCGCCATGGCACCAGCGTAGATCTCAGCCTCACAGCTAGACTGAGCCACAGACGACGAGCGAGTGGATCTCCAAGAGATAGCACCCGAACCAAGGCTGAAACAGTAGCCCTGCGACGACCTGAGCGTCTCAGCGTCGTCTGCCCAAGAAGCGTCTGTGTGCCCAGTAAGGACCACTGGCCTGCGTCCTCCTAGCACTAACCCCATGCCTGATGTACTAGCAAGATAACGCAAAACCCTCTTAGCGGCAGACCAGTGCTGAGGTCGGTGTCTGCCTGTAGCCACAAAGCGAGCCAGGATGCTGAGAGGGTATGCGAGATCTGGGCGAGTGCAAGTCATCAGGTACATGAGGCAACCCACCAGCTCTGCGTAGGGGCCACTGGGCTCTACTGGCTCCTCAGGAACGGGAGCAGAGAGCCCATGGTCTACGGGTAGAGGTGTGGGCTGTGCGGAGGAGAACTGAAGACCGAACCTCTGAAGGACCTGACGCACCAAGTGTGACTGGGTCAGAGTGATGGTGCGTGCTGCTCTGTCCCTAGAGATCTGCAGGCCAAGATAGCGACGCAGCTCTCCAAGGTCAGTGCAGGTGTGTCTCTTCAGCAGCTCAGCCTTCACAGAGGCCAGTGCGTCCCTGTCAGGAGTAGCGAAGACCAGGTCGTCTACGTAGACAAGGATGTAGAACGGAGTCTGGCCGGAACGCACAAACAGTGAAGGGTCAGCAGAGGACGGAAAGAACTGCAGGTCTGCTAACGTGGCACGTAGCGTGTCGTGCCACTCGCGGGGAGCCTGACGCAGGCCGTAGACCGGGCGCCTGAGAAGCCACTGGGTCCCAGGAGGGAAGGTACCAGTGAAGCCCTGTGGTCGGCGCAGGTAGACCTGCTCGTGTAGGCTGCCCTGAAGAAAGGCAGTAGAGAAGTCGAGAGAGTGAAGCTCGTAGTCACGCTGTGCTGCTACGTGTAGCAGCGCCCGAAGAGTGGTCATCTTCGGGGTCGGGGCGAAGGTCTGGAAGAAGTCAACCCCCTCGCGCTGACTGAAACCTCTGGCCACGTAGCGCGCCTTGAAGACAGGCGGCTCTCCAGGGGGACGCTTCACCTTGAAGAGCCACCGACCATCGACTACGTTCACCCCAGGCGGGGGAACTGCGTCGACGTAAGTGCCGGTGGATCTCCAAGATGCCATCTCCTGCTCCATGGCAGCTATCCACTGAGAGGCCCAAGGTCCCGAGGTGGCCTCAGCGTAGGTGCGAGGGGTCGGGATGTCGAAGGCGTCTGGGTCACCCTCAGGGACTAACAGCATGGAGCAGAGATGGGGAGCAGCCTCGGAAAGGAAAGCCAGCTCGTACTGCCTGTCCTCTAGGACGTCACTGCCAAGGGCAGGAGCACCCCCGACGGACAGAGGACGGGCAGGGTCAGAGACCAGAGCGGTAGCGTAGTCAAGGCGGCGGGTAGAAGCGAAGTCAGCGACAGCAGCGACAAGCGCGTCAAGGCGCGAGACAGGAACAGCAGGGTCGGTAACAAGAGAGGCAAGGACCCGAGGGACAAGGGGACGAGCAGCACGGAGGTAGTAAGAGAACGGAGGAGGTGCAACAGCAAGGGACGAGGGAGGAGGGGATGGGAGGAGGGGAGGACGAGACGAGTGGGAACGGAGCAACATAGGGTGGGTGGGCAGGACAGGAGAGACGGGACGAGCACGGGAGGGACGGCGAGCCCAAACGTGAGACGGAGGGGTAGGGTCAGGGGACAGCGGAGGAGACACAGGAGGGGAACGAGGAGGAAGACGGGCCGGAGACGAGTCTGGCGGCGGGAACACAGGACCGTAGACAGGGAGGTCAGGAGGCGGTGGGGGAGACACCGGCGCGCGGTCCGGGGAGGGAAGGCCGAGCAGGCGGAGAGCGGAAACCGGCGGCGACGGCTGCTGTGGCGGCGACGACGGCTGGGCCGGAACTCTCGGACCAGCAGAGGCAGAACGACCGTCGGCAGAACACTCAACAGCAGCACCCCCAGAACCAACACCCCAAGAGCGAGAACCCCCTCCAACACCAGCGGCACCCCCAGAAGCCGCAGGACGAACACCCTCCTCCACACCAGCACCCCCAGGGGCCGAGAGCAGCGGCGGCAGTGGCGGCGACAGCGGCGACGGCTGCGGCGGCGACGGCGACGGCGGCGGCAGCGGGGTCGGCGACTGCGACAGTGGGGGCGGAGGCACTGGGGAAGGGGGACGCGGCAAGGACGGACCGGGGGTACCACCAGAGTCAGCAGACTCCTCAACGGGGACAACCGACGGGAGGGGAGTGACGTGGGAGACACCAGACGGGGCAGGACGAGGCGGGAGAGGGGCAGGGGCTACCGGGGGAGAGGGAGCAAGGAAAAGGGGGGGGGCAACTGGGAGACCTCGGTGAGGGAAGCGGCGGTAGAAGGAGACGGACTCGTCAAAGGTGACGTCACGAGAGTGGAGGAAGCGGTGAGACGGCGGGTGGTAGAAAAGCCAGTCAGACGAGTCCAGGGGGAAACCGAGGAAGACACAGGGGACAGTGCGGGCAGTGAGCTTGTCCGTGCCAGAGGCACGAACGTGAGCAAGGCAGCCCCAGACGTGGAACGCAGACGCGTCACCGGGGGACCCGGTCCAAAGGAGGGTCGGCGAAACGTGCGGCCGCTGGGAGCGTGGCCACAGGTTAAGCTGGTGAGCCGCGTAGCGAACAGCGAACGGCCACAGAAAATGGGGGGCATCGGCATGGATCATGGAGGTACGGGCGACCTCCATGACCAAGCCGATGCGGCGCTCAGCAACCCCATTCTGCTGTGGCGAGTCCGGCAAGGTGTACGACTGAGTGATGCCCTCCGCACGACAGAACTGTCCAAGCCGACCAGAGGCGAACTCGCCGCCACGGTCGGAGTGGAGACACAACACGGGGAGACCGCGGTGGAGACGCGCAGCTACAACCCACGGGAGAAGAACGTCGGGCACGTCGGCCTTCCGCTCCAGGGGAAACACCGTGGTGTAGCGCGTGTAGTCGTCAACGAGCACAAGGAAGTAGCGCTCACCGCGCGGTCCGGGGACGGGGGCAGGGCCCCAAACGTCCAAGTGCAGGGTCTGAAGGGGGGCAGTAGCAGGACGCAGCGAGGAGGAGTGAGGAGCACGGCGGAGCCGACCCTCGACGCAAGGCGTGCACGGTGGCGCAGTCGAGGGAGGAAGGGCAGGGAGCGACGCGGGGAGACCTAAGACAAGACCGTGCTGGGACATGTGACGCAGACGCGGGAGAGCAGGGTGACCTAAGCGGTGGTGCCAGAGAAGGGAGGGGTGAGTGAGGGACCGACACGAGCAAGCTGCAGCGACCTGGGAGGACGCACCAACCGGGGGGGAAGCGGTGTGTAGGGTAAACAGACCGGACACCGGGTCCCGGGGGAACGTCGCAAGGGGGGAACCTGAGACAGCCTCAGAACAGACAGCGAACCGCTCGTGCCCGGGGAACGTGGTGGTGACGCCGAGGTCCTGGAGACAGCCGACACCAACCAGGTTCCTGGAGAACGAGGGAACGTGGAGGCCAGTAAGGGAGCCCGAGGGAACTGCCGGACAGGGAAGGGACGTAGAACTGCGCGCGACGACCGGACCCGCAGAGGGGTCAGCGAGAGAGACAACAGCAGGTGCAGCAAGCGGCGTGAGCGTGGAACGGTCGCGGAAGAAGCAGGCAGAAGCACCAGAGTCGAGAGTGAAGGACAGCGACGCAGTGGCGGAGGCCGCGGACGGAGCCGGTGCAGCGACTAGACTAGGCAACCTAGGCAGTCCTACGCCTGTCGCAGCAGGGGAAGCTAAGCTACACAAGGGTGAAACACCTAAACTAGAGTACACATGGTAGTAAGATCCATCAACACTAGAAGCGTCAGCATACAAAGCATGCAAAGCAGCACCTATCTGATCCATGTCTAACTCAAAGATCGGCACGCCCTGGCGGAGCAGGCTGTGCCAGTCAGGGAGGTCCGGGGCCGGGCCAAAGCGACGACGAAAAAGATCGTCGAGGCGGCGGAAACAGTGGGCGGTCGGGTGCGGGCGGCGGCACAGAGTGCCGCGGAGAGGCCCGGTCTGAAGCTGGTACTGGCAGGTCACAGCACTGGAGCCGCTGGTAGACGCCAAGCTGCGCGGGCCGCCACCACGGCCACCGCCTCCAGAGGTGCCGGGCCAACCAGGCGGGAGACGAGCCCACGGCTGCGGCGGGTGCTGCTGGGACGGCGGCTGCGGCTGGGGCTGGTCCTGCTGCTGCTGGGACTGCTGCTCTTGCCCACCGGTGGTAGTCCCCTCAGGCGGACTACCGTCACCACCACCACGACCACTACCACCTGCGTCACCACCCCTACCTCCCTGGCGGCCACGGCCACCGCGACGCGAGCGCTGCTGCGGGTGGACAGCAGCAGCCGTCTCGGTAAGAGGGGTCGCCGTGGCGACCGCAGCCG